CCCCCATCATCTAGACTTGGTGAGGAAATTGCCAGGATAGCCATTGCTATGGTGATTTGACTGGCAACTTTGTAGCTAAGATAAAATAATTTCCTTTAACGGAAAAAGATAAAACTATTGCTTGAGGATGATCTAAGACAATGTTTTTGCCTCCTTATCTTTCAGTTACCTCACCTTTGCAATCTCATATTTCTAGAGACTCTAAAAACCTTTACACGCAGAACCCTTGGCAGAATCAGAGGCAAAAAGTTAAAGGTTTTGAACTGGCATTCAATCTTCCTGAGCTTTTCTCTTTCACTCTATATTATGAAATTAACTGTTAATGATTTCAATCTCTATTCACTGGGGGAAAGTAACTTCCCTTACAGCAGCAAATGAAAAACAATCTCCCCCTTTAGTGAAGAGGGGCCCTACAATTGGTACAGGAAGACTGTTTCAGATATTTGCATGTAGTCCTAGGTTAGCAATAACCCATTCTGAGAACAGTTACAGATTATTTCTTCTACAAATGCCACTAGGGAAGCTGAGTAAAGGATAACTGAGAGTTTTATCCAAGACCATATTTTTTTCTGACTTTGTTTTTAGTTATTCTCTGAGGCTTGCTCTGTTAAATGATTTTGCCCTAATTTGAGTTTGGAAATGTGTTTCCTTTCACTCAACTGAGGTTTTCTTTTTGATAACAAGGTTAGTTTACACAAGAAGTCCATCTTTGGGGAAAGGAGAGAAAAGTAAACAAACCCTTTTCCCCTCAGAGGCAATGCCTGTGATTTCTGCTTCTCCAAACCTAAATTCTTAGGTCATTCAGACCCCCTGACCTCCTTGTTAGCATGAGGAGCCCAAGATTTTTACTGGACTTTTCCAGTCCTTTTGACTTTCAACCATCTCTGCTAATGTCAAGGTGGCCGAGGCACAGATGAGACAAACCCAGTGATCCAGGTCTGTTCTTGTAAAGTGATTCTTTATTTCCTTGTCTTGGAACTACTTTATGAAAACCAAATTCATATATTTTTGTTCTGTTTTCCTCCAAATAACTAAGCAGAGAGTTTAACAGCAGATTAACTATGATATAGCCAGGAAGCAAGATGAAGGGTGAACAGTAGATGGAGAATAGTTTCCCCCTCAAACTGTCACCCAAATTTCTCACTGGATACCAAGGATTTTAATTTGCAGCGATGATCTTCACCAATTACCAGCTGTATGACCTCAGGCAGGCAACATCGTACCCCATTTAGTTTTCTGTTAAATGAGTAGGGCCTACCACATAGGGCAGTTATAAGCAGTAAATAAGTTATTATAACAATTCTTGGTGCATCACATGCACTTAGAGATGATAGCTCTTAGTACATAGTAACACAGCCCTCCTGTTCAACTAAGCTATTCTCTGCATCCTCCAGTCATGCACAATCATTCCTTGAACTGATGGAATTCTCAAGGAATTGGGATGTTCTTCTCATGAATCAGGAAGTCCATAAGAGAAATGTTTTTCAATAGAAACAAAATACAGCCCTATTCTGATAAGAAACAAATGGAAAGAATTTGTTTTTGTTTTGTTTGGGGGGCACATGTGGCAGTCCTCAGGATTTGCATCTGGCTCTGTACTTAGGCATCACTCTTGGTAGGGTTCAGGGGACCAAATGGGGTGCCAGGGATTGAACCTAGGTTGGCCATGTGCAAGGCAAGCACCTACCCACTGTACTATCTCTCCAGCCCTAATTTTTGGTAAATATATAGTTAACCTGTGAGCCCAAAATAACATTATTTAGGTTTATAATCAGTTGAATATTTTGCACTTTTTCTTTAGAATATCATGTATGGTTTTTTTAAACAAATAACACTTGCAAATTCTATTTTTTAGTTTTATTTTCATAAAGTTGCTCACAATAATTTTATTACATTCAATATTTCAACACCAATCCCACCACCATTACACTTTCCCGTCACCATTATTTCAAATTTTCCCACCACCACCCAATCTTGCCCCAAAAGCAGTTGCTAAATAATTTTTTGTATTGCTTGTTATGAATAATCCACTAAAAATGATCCTAAAAGGTTTTCTTAGAGGAAAGTGTGTGAAAATTGTTGTATCTCACCTTGGAGCCATTAACCCCATTATAAGAAATCACTAATGTGTTGTTAGAGTTGAGTCTTATGTGCTAATATAATCAAGATCAGTTGCCTTCTATTTTACACCCCATCATATGTGGTATGCTACTCTTGGTTCATTAGTGGCATAAAATATGGGATGTTGTTCCAGGAATTCTAAAATTTTAAATAGGGTGCTTGGGTCTCATTCTCCTAAAGAGCCCTGAATATAATCTCAGGGCTAGGATGAAGGAGATGTTACTGGGGCCTGCTCGAGGCAATCGACGATTAACAGGATGATGAAATGAAATGAAATGAAATAGGGTGCTAGAGTTGGAGTTAAATTTTAACTGGATGGTGATTTAGGGGTCTGGAGGCCTCTCTGCAGCTTGTTGCTCTCTTCTGAGATTCATTTGTGAATATCTGTATCATGGCTGTTAATGAGTTTATATGGCTCCAGAGGCAGTTTGTGGGCATGACTGCCAGGCAGCCAGAGCACAGGGAGATGTGGGGAGGGTGCTCATTCCCAAGTCCATGTGAGCCTGGAGGTTTCAATAACAAAACCTGCATACCTGGATTTTTCAGCAGATTCATTCCATGCATGAGGGACCCGTCCCAGGCCTGCAAAGATTGGCTATGAGCAGGGCGGCAACTGGGTTCTGGAATTTGCAGCTGCTAGGGTTCTGTTGGGGTACGTGGAGGGACTCATCTGTCCCCCTCCAAGGTTCCCCAGATGGAGGCGGGGATGAGGAGGTATCTCTGCAGCCTGTTGCTCTGTTCTGAGATTTATTTGTGACTTAACATGTATGTTTTATACTTGCAACACTTCTTAATTCAGAGAAGCTCTATTTTTTAAAATTTTATTTTATACATTTTATTTTATAAAGTAGTTCATTGGGTGGGGTGGGGGGAATGGGGGGTGGGAGGGATACTGGAACCCGTGGTGGTGGAAAATGGGCACTGGTGAAGGGATGGGTACTTGATCATTGTATAACTGAAACTCAAGCACAAAAATTTGTAAGTCTACAGAGAAGCTCCATTTTAAGTGCTGATAAGCCCCCAGGACACCCGGAGGCACCTGGGTATAGTGAGCAGGAGGTCCCCAGATGCCGACTAGCTCAGGATGTGACTGAGAGCTTTAGCTAATGGTGCATATGTGCTGAATGAGTAAGTTTGATGTGCTCAGGATATATTTTTATTTTATCTTTTTTGGAGGGATGGGAGGATTTAGGACCACAGCCCTATTCTGATAAGAGGCTAGTCCTGGTTCTGTGCTCAGGGGACGATATGGTGTTGGGATCGAATTGGGGTGGGTTAGTGTGTAAGGCTCCCTCTACTATCTCTCAGACTCTCTTCTTTTATTGTTTTAATTAAACACTCTACTTTTTGCCCTTTTTTTTTCAAGCAGGGAAGGCGAGGTTTAAAGGTAACAGCTAGTTAGTAAGTAGTTAAGACAGGATTTGCTACTCTCACCTTAGGGTGTGCATCCTCACCCTGTCTGTTGCCTCCCAGATGTGAGGTGAAGTTCTGTGCTCTGAAGAGTTTCCATGAAGACTGGGGAATTCAGCGAGTTGGCACCTTTGGACAGCTTTGTTAAGAATAATAATGGCCACAAATAGAATCTTTGGGGGATTTCCCATGGTAATGCATGTAATTAGTCACCCTATAAAACTTGGATTTGTTTATGTTGTGAACAGATTGTATTGTCTTGGGGATATAGATTCCAAGCTCTAGCAGACTGGTCTTTGGGATGCAAGCCCAAGTGCTTGTAGCTTGTGAAAGTGCTTGTGAAAGGTTTCAGTTTGGTTTTGTATCTTCTTTCCCCAGGCCAAAATTATTGGCCTGCAGATGTAAAGAAACAATGTACGTTTTGCTGCCTCAAGGTTCTTTCTGTAACTCCTTTTGATGGCATCACTGTATTGCAGAGGTACTATGATCTATAGAAATAAAAGAGAAAGGGAAATGTTTAGCTTTGTGATTTTTCCCAAGAAATTTAAAACACGACTTTTCAGCTCTTAGAATATGTGATTATATATCCTGCTTTTGAGAACCAGAAACAAGGTTAGGGAAAGCACCTGACCTCTTAAGGGAGGAAGTACTTGCATTTTTGGGTGTACTAACTGAAGAAGTGGGGTGCAAGAAAGATAAAGCCAGAAACATCAAATAAAAAAATCAAATAAAAATTATATTTGTACTTGTTCAACTTAAAACTATAAAACCTAGCTTCCAGAACCACGCGGCCGCATTTGCAGCTGCACAACATCTTATTATGACATCTTGTTATCTCATTCCTACTTTGGACAAACTGGCAGGCTACCGAATGTAACCTGCCCACACGGCAGAGTCTGGCAAACTCCCCGTGGTGTACCCAATATGCCAAATACCAGTAACAATGATGGGTCTCATTCTCCTAAAGAGCCTTGAATATAGCACTTTTTAAAAAATCTCAGGGCTAGGATGAAGGAGACGTTACTGGGGCCTGCTCGAGGCAATCGACGAATAACAGGATGGCTGTGATTCGTGATTCGTGAACAGATTGTAAATGGATGAAATCTGTCTCTCCCGACCTCTTGGAAGGGGGACTGCCAGGGAGGGCTTGTTTCTAAGCATCTGGAAGAAAGAGTCCTTGCAAAGGCACTCCTCAAGAGGAATGATTCCACCCCAATCAACGCTGTGTGAGGAGACGTGGGTGGTGTTCAAACAGTGCTTAAAACTGCTCCTAAGCATGATCTACTTGCTTTTATTGGCAGGAACTTGAAAATGATGACCTATGATTTAAAATCAGGATGACTTTTGAAGAGAAAGATGTTAACTCATTATTATAAGTATTACTTCTGTTAGCTGGCCTGTCAGAGAGTTCCCCCTTTCCTCTGCCACTCAAGAACTATTGCTTCTTGTTTTTTTCTTAACCCTTAAAGACCAGATATTGACCGAAGTTGGACCTTAATCCAAGAGCATATCAAAATGGAATCCATGGTTATCAGAGGCCTCGATCCAGATACCAACTATCAGTTTACTGTAAGGGCCGTCAATCCCTATGGCAGGAGCCCCCCGAGCCTGCCCAGTGATATCGCCAGAACCTACCGTGAGTACAGGGGTCTCTTTGAAGCACAAAAATTGCTGCGCCTGAGAACCCATTGAGCCAGGGTATCTTGGTACATGGAAGGGGCCTAGCCCCTGCCTTCTTCCATGGCCTTTCCAGCCGTTTGGAAGCTCAGAGCTCTCAGTATGAACACAGGCTATTTCTATGTATGGGAGGTCAGCAAAAGATTTATTTTTGCTTCATCCTCAGGGATTTTGAGGTCAGTTTTCTTTGACAAACACAGAGCAGCCCACATACCAAGACAACATGTGCTGGCCCCTTTCCCACCCTTTCTCGTGTCTGGAAAAGATGGCTTCATCTTAGAATCTTAAAGGAAAAAAATCAAGACTCTTTGGGTTTGGTGTGTATTCCCACTAATCCTAAATCAAGGTCACTAAAGTAAAAATCACATCAAGTAAAAATGAAGGATGCTAAAGTGAAATCAGGGGGCTGGAGCAATAGCACAGCAGGTAGGGCATTTGCCTTGCATGATTCCCAGCATCCCATGTGGTCCCCTGAGCACCACCAGGAGAGATTCCTGAGTGCATGAACCAGGAGTGACTCCTGTGCATCGCCAGGTGTGACCTCCCAAAAAATAAATAAATAAATAAAGTGAAATCAGTTATTCTCCAAGATGCTCATGGAGGATCCAAAGATTCCATGGATGATAAACATGTCGATGGGGTCTAGGCACTGACACAGCTTTTGTGACTCACCTTTCTGTCCTAGTGCCATCCTGGGAAAAGTGGTACTGCAGGAAGCTCAGCTCAGTGTCATGCAAATAAAGGGATGTTCTAGGGAGAGGTAGACGTTACTATATTTTTTGGTGGAAGACCCTGAGACTTAGCTTTTGCCAAATAAACTCTTCCAGCTCTGGTGTCCCCAAGCTCAGGTCCTCTCTGCACTGGAAAGGCACTTCCAGCAGAGCACCCTGGTGCCATCTCCTCTGAGCTCTGCCTAGTTTCGCCTTGTTAGAGGAGCTGAAGCATTGTCCAACTTCTTTTCTCACTTGATGCCCACTCAGCTACATCCTGGGTCACCTTTGTTTCCAGGAATAGAGATTCATCAGATTCCCCAAGTTGTAGGAATTTGGGCTCTTCCAAATACCCTTAATCTTGAGGGTTAAGGCTTCTTCAAACAGAAATATTGGCATGTATGGGTATGAGGTAAAGCCACACATATTTTCACCTTGATTTAGCTAACATATATGTCCATCCAGCAACTATATTTATCTTCTCAAGAATCTAGAAGCTAAAACTGCCCTGGACTTATAATAAAGAATGTCATCCTTCTTTCTGCAGAAATTGTTCATGGCTCTCTTTTAAAACCGAAGGGGGACCTCTTGCTGGATGAGATATATCTATAGTCTGATGAAGCTTTGTGAATCAGTACTAAACCTTGAGGCATGCTTTCAGACCTGACTATAATTCGAAACTAGAGTTGAGCTTTTTATGTCAGAAACTGAGCAGGCTTCCAATGCTGAGCTACCTGTGTTCCCCCCCCCCCCCGCCCCACCCCCCCCCACACACACACTTTTAATATCTTCTTCTCAAAGACAGGAAAATAAAAGGATGAAACCAAACAACTGTTGGCCCCAAACTGGAGTGGAGAGATTGGCGGAGGGTGTGAGGAAGGGGTGTTGGGGGTGGGGGACATGAGTTAAAATATTTCTAATTTTTTTCTCTTTAAATTGAAACATTGGTCTGGCCTTGAATATCCAATCATTTCCTCCCTTCTTGGATTCCAACTTTGCAGACTACATAGGATCAGGTACGTGAAAGCTTTTCTGATGTAGAATGTTTTATGACAATCAGTCTCTAACAAAAAGTAAAATTTTATTATTTAAAAAAATTGTGTGCAGGGGATATGGTTGATTCAGTGAAAACTCCGTTAAGAAATATTCAAACTAAATATAATTTTACTGCTTTTACTTATGTGTGATTACTCAGATCAGTAGAACGGAAATAGAATTTATTAGATGGTTTGTTTCATGAATACTTAAGGATGTGCTATAATTGGAATTTCAACTATGATTTTCCCAAGATCTCTTCTAATGTTTTAGAAAACACTTTCTTCTGACACATTCTTATTTTTCTATTAGTGTAAACTACTATTTTGCATTCAAAGCTATTTTTATATATAAAGTTACCTAATTACAAATAGCATTCATCTGAAATATAATAAATTCTAAATACCAGAGAAACCATTGCAAAAATCCCCTATCAATAGGCTATCAGCTCTCATTCTACTATGAAATCCCATATTAATTTCCAGCAAACCTTCATGCTGAAGGAATAGTATACCTCTTTCTGGAATTTTTTAATTGAATCTTGAAAAAGCTTTGTCTTTTGTCACAAATAATAATAATAGTAATGATGATAATAATAATAAAAAGATTTGAACTCACATTTGGCTAGCTCCACCAACAATACCACTTCCCTGAGTAGAAATGAGGACTTTAGAAAGTAAATAAAGTGCAGGTCACATTCTGTGTACAATCTGTGGACTGAAGAAATTCCGCCCACATAGAACAGGTCTATATGTTTTCCTCCATAAGCTTGTGAGGTACATGCTAAAATGTGAGTAAAACATATACATGCTCACTTGTTCTTGCCTGATGTTCATACGCCAGGTTCACTGATTGGAACTGAATGCTTTTTGTGAGCTCTGGGAATTTGCAGCCAGTGATCTTTCTCGCTGGGCAGATCCTAGCCAAGATAATGCTCCAACATTTTGCATATTGCCCTGAAGACATCAAGAGACCCTGTTTCTTTTTTTCATTTGTTTTCATGTTTGGGGGATACACCTGGCAACACTCAGGGCTGAGTCCTAGCTCTGCACTCAGGGATCACTCCTGATAGGGCTCAGGGTACATGGTGCAAAGGATAGAAGCTCAGTGGGCAAGCACAAGGCAAACGCCTTACTCACTGCCCTATCACTCTAGCCCAGATGATGCTTCTCTGTCTTGGGCTTCTCCATTTTCTGCCGATCTCAAGGCCATTTTTATATGACTGTTTTCTTGGCCTCATGCCCCCTTTGCTCCCTAAACATCAAACTTCAGGACAAAACGTTCCAGTTGACTGTGGTGACCTGGTAGGAATCCTGAAATTCCAGCCTCAGTCCTGACGCCATGACCCGCTGGGCTCCTCTCTGGACTGTTTCTCTGAGGTCTCCACCCACCTCCTTTCAGAAGGAAAAATAACACTTCCACTCTCCTAACTATCCAAGCCCGGACTTCCTGCTGCATCTGTTAATGCCAGGCCCTATTAGCAGCTTAATTGCTTAATAGGGCAATCAGTAAATCTCAATTGCTTTTGTGTCTGTAGTTAATGGAAGCCAGACCCCACTGTTTCCCTGAATTGGCTCTTAGCCTGTATGAGGAAATAAAGAGTTTGGGTGGCTTCTTCATGAGGCATGTTCCACATCCTCTTTACCTCAGCCCCTCGGATGTAGAAGCAGAAGGAGAAAAAAATTGGAAGAGGTTTAGATGTTTAGATGCTCTAATGAGAAAGTCCATCATTTCAGCAACTCTGAGTAGGAAAGAAGATACCACAGGTATTTGAGAAAGTGTTCAGTGAGAGCTGCTTATTCTATTCTTGAAGGAAATGTGAAGACAGAGGTTAGGGCTTCTCCCTCCCTGGTTCCTTCTGGATGTATTTTTTTCCTTCATAACGTCATCAACTGTATCATTTACTTTATTGTCAACTACCCTCTTCCTTCCTGTGATTGGGCTCAGAAATTGGCTAGGAGAGGCCATAAACAAGCGTGCACTCATGTGACTGTGTAGCACATGTATCACCCCATCTGGATCTGGTGGTAACTAGTCACTGGAGGCCAGGCTTATCTTGCCTAAGAAGGATGGAACAACAAATAAAGGGCATGAACTATGGATAACAGACTTGGCAGGAGTACAAAATTAAAATGAAAAGTCATCCTTTTTTCCCCAAAAAAACAAGCTGAAATGAAAAATAACTCACAAGCCTGGCCACCTCTGTGATTATATAATCTCCCTGGGACTGGAACTCAGTCCTATCATCCTTGTCTACTGTATTACATTATAAAGTAAAGTAAAGTAAAGGCCCTCCCGTTGATCGTCGATTTGCTCGAGCGGGCCCAGTAACGTCTCCATTGGAGACTTTGTTGTTACTGTGTCTGGCATATCGAATACTCTCGGTAGCTTGCCGGGCTCTCCGAGAGGGGCGGAGGAATCGAACTCGGGTCGGCCATGTTGGCTGCGTGTAAGGCGAACGCCCTACCCGCTGTGCTATCGTATTACATTATATTATATTTTATTGGTTTGGGGGCCACATCCAGTAGTGCTCAGGATTTACTCCTGTCTCTGCACTCAAAGATCACTCATGGCAGGTTCAGGGAATCATATGAGGTGCTGGGAATCAGACTCCGATTAGCTGCATACAAGGCAAGCGCCCTACTCACTGTATAGCACACTGGCCCCTTCCTATGCATTTTAATTCTCATGTCAGAGTCTCATGAAATAAGTAGAGAGAAAATCATTGGGTGCTACTGAAGTTGATTTCTTCAGGAAAGTGCTCAGGAGTTTATTTGTTCCTCATAAAAGTTGTTTTGTTCTTCTCTGCCTCAGGGCTTTTGCCCCATTTGCTTCCTCCTTCTTAAACCCTTTTTCTTCTCCTAGACTATTCCATGGCCCCCTGTCTCAGCTCACACACCTGCAATTTAGATGTCACATTTTCACAGAGGCTTCACTGAGCCCCCAACTGATGCTGGAACCCAGTTCCCTGCTTTGAGCTCTCTACAAGCTCTTTTAGTGACTGGAATGGTTTTATGAATTTGCCTTCTACCCCAAGAGACGTTCTATGCTGGAGTCGGAATAACCAGTATGTTTCAGCACTCTAGAAAAGTCAGAGTACTGCATAGTGTGGCTCAAAAAATTACAAAAGTTGAGTAAGAAAGGAATAAAGGAGGGAAGAAAAGAAGGGATAATGCAAACCAAAAAAGTTAAAGTTCAAGGCAATTAGGGTTGAAATGAAACCTAAGAGACAGAAATCAAAAGAGTAAGTTTATATATGGCGGTGAGGGTGGGAGAGGAATTTTCTTACCCTTGTAAGCTCTTATTCCATTTTGGGGCTCCTTAACGAGTGCTCAGGGCCACAGGTCTCTCTTGCTGATACTCAGAAAACCAGGTTCTCTCATTCAATACTCAGGTCGAGCAACACAGTGCTAAAAGTGTGAGGGGTCATCAATGTCATGCCCAGCAGTGCTAGAGGACCGTCAATGTTATACTTGGGGGTCCAGAGGAGGCTATGCAATATTGAGGATCAAAGTTAGGTCCTTGCACTTGCAAGGCACGTACCGCTGAACCCTGAGCTAAGCCCTCCTTTTACTGCTGTACGCCTTCTTGATCACCGGAGCAAGCTTGAACATTGCCTTACTAAATAGGAGTCTCTTTGTCCTTGGTCCACATCCGTCTGATCCCGTTCTCAGATGCCTGGAGATTACACAGGGAGGGTTAAGAGTTGCCAGGTTTGGGGTTTGCTGTTTGCCACATTATTCTCTCCACACCTTTCTACTACAGTTTCAGAAACTCCCTCCTCTGGGGGCTCAATCAAATACGCCCTGGCTCAAGTCCATCAAATGTTGACAGTTAATCTCACTCCATGCTGCTCCTTACCTGTCTGCCTACTCTCCTTGTCTCTCCCTTTCCGTTTACTCAGACATCACTCTGTTCTGCAGTTATTGGGTGTGATGGTGTCTGTTTACTACCTCATTGTCTGTGTGAGCATCTGGCTTGTGCCCAGTTTTGTTCTAAGAGCTAAACCCTTGTTTTTCATGGTCTCCCCAGAGGCCGGATCACATTTAGGGTTCCTGAGTTCATCTTATAGTATGTGTGTCTTCAAAATACATCCCTTTATCCCCAGTCTCTAAAGAGGCCTGCCAGTGAGCGAAGAGACAGCAATAGGGATAGAATTACTAAGGGTGGGTAGGAAGCAATCATATGGGAAGGAGACAAAAAGTAGCTTCTTCCCCATGACTTATCGTCACCCTCTAGTCACTTCCAGATGATCTGCTGCCTCCTGTGGTTAGTGCCCTTGAACCCTTAAAAATGCCCCTAGAGACCTCCCTGGCTACCCTCAAGCATATGTCCTTAGAATAAAATCTGAAAGGCATCTCTGACAAGCACCTCTGAGGGCCAAGAGAACTGTGATGTTATGACTTTGCTGTGAGAATTTCTCTGCAAATTCATTTTTTCTCCCTGGGCCTTAGCGTTCTCATCCCACATTGTGTCTGAGGGGTGGTAGTCATGGTTTTAAGTTGTCTGCGTTTTTTTTAAGGGGCTGTGTGTGAGGGAGAGGGAATGACATCAGTCCACTCCTGAAGAAGAGTGATGTGTTGACAGGTATCTCCTGGACATACCAGTCACAGGGTGGGGGGGGGGGGGGGGGTGTGGGGAGGGGGTGGTGCAGATGGCCAGGCTGACCACAGACCTGATACTCATTCTTTTTGGCTCCAGGTTCTGAGCTAACTGTTCTTGGAACTTCAAAGCTTTAGGATCCCAGAATTAAGGAACAAAGATCCAGCCTCCAAATTTTCAGGATGGTGTGAAGAGAAGCAACCTCTTGGGTCTTAAGTTAGGTCAGGTAGAATTCTTGGGCTAGGTTTTAGTTGCTTGGCTGGATAGTTGGTTTAAGATAGAAAGACATCAGAGGGCTAAAACCACCTACAATGAACTTTACTAAGAGTAAAATTTCTTCTCTCTCCCCTCTTAAGCATATACTGGATTTATGAAAAATGAATGGGAAAAAAGAGCCTCCCCTAGAATTATTATATTATTGATAGTGTACCTCTGGTTTTTCTTGGTTTATTTTTTCATCCCACCCAAAGCTAACAGATTATTTTCAGGGACATCAACATAATTTTTGTAAAGGAAAAAACAGTAAATACTTTTTGGTTCCCCCTGCTGTTGGAGGATGAGTGAGACACAAATAATAAGTAAATAATAAATACCATGCATGACTGTTTACAACAAAAATTAACACTAAATATAGCATTATGGTATGACTTCCATGTGTCACAGAAGATGATTCTTTCAAAAGTTTTTTTTTTCTGATAATTTATGATCTAAAAATAACTATTCTCCTGTCCTTTTTTAAAATTAAAGAAGACACTCATTTGTTAAATAAACTTTATTGAAATGTCTGGTGAGATTAGTTTCCATTCTCAGAGAATAGCAAAATGGGGCAAGCAGGAAGTTTTGATTGGATAAAGAGTAATGAACAAGAAAGCAAAAAATAGAAACTAAAGGCATGAAGTAGGTCTAAGCACCCACTGTTGGCTGAGCATTTGGATAGTGGCTGGTTGGTGCTATGTTCTTCAACTTTACGACACCTGTGGATTGGCAACTGTCCTGAACACCTCAGTCCTTATTTACTTACAAGTCCTTACTTACTCGCAAGCAAGGTGGTAAATGGTTTTCAACCTTTCCGCATCTGTACACTGGTTCATGGACTGGCAGGTATAACCAAGGCAGTCAGCAGTGGTTTCAACCTTTCTACCCCTTGGACTGGCAGTTGACGAACCCTTGGCTAGACAGTGTTGTGTTTTTGTTCGTGCAGAACTTTTACAAGATCATGAAGTTATTTAAGTTTTATTAGTTTTTCTGATACAGTACCTCGAGCAGAAGAGGTTCCATCACGAGTCTGGAAATCTGCTTCTATGGTATAAAAGTGGGCCACAGTCCAGATTGAACTGAAAAGCAAGACCTAGTTTTCTGACCTGTGCATTCTATTGCCGAATTTCCTCCTTCCATCCAAAATTTAAGAGCTCTCTAGGAAATTTTGGAAATCCTCTCATTTTTAGCAATTTTTATCAGACTTAAAAGGCTGGAGCGATAGCACAGTGGTAGGGCGTTCGCCTTACAAGCGGCCAACGTGGCCGACCCGAGTTCGATTCCTCCACCCCTCTCGGAGAGCCTGGCAAGCTACCGAGAGTATTCGATATGCCAGACACAGTAACAACAAAGTCTCCAATGGAGACGTTACTGGGCCCGCTCGAGCAAATCGACGATCAACGGGAGGGCCTTTACCTTTACCTTAAAAGCAATCAATGAGGGCATTTTAATTAAATTATCCCGACAATTTTATTTTCACAAGAATGCATGGAAATAAGAAAGTGGAGAGTCTGCAACATGAGTTGTGTTTGAAGGGGTTGGGTCTGGTGTACAGGAGAGAGAGAAAGTGGAAGCAGAGGTTGCTTTGCTCAGCATTGCTCCAGGAACTTAGAAGAGGCCTATAAATTGGTGAACAGATTTGTAAATCTTTTGACTGGAAGACCAAAAAGGGAACAGGAGGAAGCACAAATCATTTATTTCATCATTGCCAAGATAAATCAGCATTTTAAGTGTGTAGCTTGTGCATAAAAATAACTTCCAATATGATTTTATGTTCAGGTGCCCTCCACAGTAATCGCTCTATTGATTTGCTAATGCCTCAGTGCCTGTAAATCTGAGTAATATTCATTTGCAGAGGTTTATTGGTTCTAAAAGGAATGATTCACTTCGTTGTTTAAATACCTGCTACCTATTAAATTGCTCTTCTGGGGCATTTGAACATCTTACATTACCATACATTTGCTTATAATCAACACACTGATGTTTTAGCCCTTCTGACAAATCATAAGGAAAAAATTAATTCTCCAAAGAAAGCCTTACAGTACTCTAGTGTCAACCACAGCATCTGCTCAATCAGTGGGCAACCCTAGACTCATGAATTATTTTATCCCAACTCATTGGATTTCTAGATACTTAAGTGAGCAAAATATGCATGTTCTTAGGTATTTCTCATTTTATTTTTTTCCTATTTCTTTCTAGTGCATTCTGTTCTCTTTCCTCTACTCATTTATGGTTTGTTGTTCTTTTGGAGCGCCTCTTACTTTGACACCTGATCCTTTGGGATTGTTTCTGGAACACTCCATTCCTGATCCTTTAGGTTCTTTGTGGTCTAGCACCAAGCAGAGGACAGCTTAGGTGAATCAGCATAAGTGCCACATGTAGGAGGAACAAAGTGAATGTGGCTGTGTTGGACAGATTTCATCTGATTAGGCAACAACTACGAAACAAATTTCTACAAATATATGCAAGGATAGAGGACGTATCAGATATTAAACTGATAAGAACAGATACTACACTTGATCTTAGCCAAAAGGCCGAGAAGCTAGAGCGTTTGCCTTGCAAGCGGCCAACATGGCAGACCTAAGTTCGATTCTTCTGCCCCTCTCGGAGAGCCCAGCAAGCTACCAAGGGTATCTCACCTGCACGACAAAGCCTGGCAAGCTACCTGTGACATATTTGATATGCCAAACACAGTAACAACAAAGTCTTACAATAGAGACGTTTACTGGGCCCGCTCAAGAAAATCAATGAACAATCGGAGGACAGTGACAGTGACAGTGATATGCAAGGAAGTAACAAGGAAAGGAGAAGAGACAGTTTTCTAGTGATCTCAAATGTGCATGTCTTACTATCTGACAGGAAACTCATGTGTTGGGTAAATCTGAGTGAGTATAGTTCGGAATTACTTGCAGAAATTTGGGCAAAATGTAGGGCTGTCAGGAGAGGGTAGTTACAATCCTCCAAACATGGACAGTTAGGTCTGGCAGGGACCCAGGGCTGAGACAGTCAGACATGTCCCATGGCAACCTCAAGGGTGGCAGTTGGAGAATAAACCCGCTCCCTCCTTCCCTCCCTGCCTCTACTCTCCTGTTGGTGCTTCCCATTGAGCACAACACAGCTGGAAGCAGAGCTAGTCAGAGCCCTCCTCCACCACCCAGTGGGACCCAGAGCCCAGGGTAGAAAGAGCAGAACTGAAGCTGGGGGGCAGAATTTACCACAAAAAGAATCATCACCTTTAAGATATGGTGAATTATATGGTTCCCCAATGCATGGCTTATGTGTTGGTCTTTCTCTCTTGCAGATTTGAATTCTAACCCCATTCCCTTCATCCTGGCCTTTGTAAAAAAAAAATACATATTTAGTCACTATGAATGACAATGTTTTATATGATTGGGTTTCAGGCCTACAATGTTCCAACACTAATCCCTTGACCAGTGTCTTCATAGCACAGCAGGTAGGGCATTTGCCTTGCATGCGGCTGACCCAGCCAACCTGAGTTCAATTCCTCCACCCCTTTCAGAGAGCCCGGCAAGCTACCGAGAGTATCCCAACCACATGACAAAGCCTAGCAAGCTACCTGTGATGTCAAACACACTAACAACAAGTTTCACAATATTACTGGGCCCGCTCGAGCAAATCGATGAACAATGGGAGGACAGTGCTACAGTGCTATTCTTTTTTAAAATTTTCATTTTTTAATTGAATCACTGTGAGATACAATTACAAAGCTTTCACAATTGAGTTTCAATCATACAATGATCAAACACCCATTCCTCCACCAGGGCTTATATCTGGGTCTACTGTCTGCAAGGCAAATGCCCTACCCATTGTACTATCACTCCTGTCCCCAATCTTTTCCTTTTTAATCCTCATATTTTCTTGATGTAGGATGTGACCAAGTTGCATAGCCCAGTGTTCGTTATCTGAGGGTTTTATCAGCTCACAGGTGTAAAAGGACTACTTGCGACCACTTTTGCTTCTTCAGATCACATGGAAGATAGCCAGATTGACCTAATGACCTTATCACATTTAGTAACAGATGTTAGACAAGACCAGTTTCAGGCCTGGGATATGGCTCCAAGGAGTGGAGCACATGCCTGGCATGTGTGAAGGCAAGGGACTTCTATCCCCATCCCTCATCATCTCCCCAACATTACCAGCTGCAGCACTGGTCACCCCTGGGTACCCTCTGTTCTGAGTCCCACAGCTCCCAGTGCAAGCACTGAACCCTCAGGCCTGCACAGCCAGACTGAGTTCTGCCAAGAGAGGCCCCCAGATGCAAGAATGAGGGTGTGGCTTTTTATAAAACCCAGATTTATACATTTTTTCATGTTTATGCCTAAATTTGGTAGGATTTCCTTTTTCTAATTATTATTTTAAAGAGCCATTCTCTCATGTTATGTTATATTCACTTACTTTTTGAAATCAATGTTTAGTGTTTCTGATTTCGATGTGTGGGTATAGCACTGAATGAACAGGCAAAAGGATTCCCCTCACCTCCCTCAGCTTACACTCTAATCAATACAGAGAGCCGATGAATAAATAAATTAAAAATATAAACAGGATGTCAGGTGAAAAGAGCTATGGAGAAAAAAATCAGGTAGGGAGATAGGCAGTCAGAGAAAACCTAGGAAGGTGTCCTTTGAATAGGAAACAGAAGTTGTCAGTACCTTACCTGTAGGTGTCTGTATCAATATGTATTATGTATATATACCCCTAGATCTGTCTGTCTATCCATCCTATCATCCTTCGGTCCAACCATTCTTCCACCTGGTGGGGAGTGTTCCAGAAAATGCCAAGGCCTTTTCTGATTTAAGAGCAGGCAATTGAGACCATTGGGCTTTTTTTTTTCCTATAAGCAAAGTGGGAAGATTTGGAGGGCTCACCGAGGGTGAGACCTTGAACAAAGGATTGAAAAGAACTTCCTTAGACTTGAATAAAATCCTTCCACTGGCGTGTGAAGGAACCATGCAATGCCAATGACAAGATCAGGAGACCAATGAAGGAAAGGACAGCAATAATCCTAAAACAAAAATAGCATTCGTTATCAGCTCTAAATAGAGCAAATGGCCCAACTTATTACTAGAAAAAGTTGAAAGTAAAACTAAAGATGAAAATTGTCTCAAATCCTAGACTAACCATTATTTATATTTTGATATACAATCTTCCAGAAATGTTTTAATCCATGGAAGAGATCATAATGCATATACTTTGTGTGACAAAACATCATGCATGTTTTTAAGTATAAATACTAATGCAGACTTACATTAATTTTCACAATCATAGTATATCCTATTGTAAAGTTCCACTACCTTAATTTAATTATATAAAGTTGTTTAGACTATTTGACTATTAAATATGATGCAAAACTTCTTAAAAATGCCCTTAGGATTTTTTTAACTTGCCCAAGTTTACATTTATTTGTTATGTTATGAGGCAGAGTTTGTCAACTTCTGTCTCTCTTTCCTATATATCCATGTATAGACTAATATATCATCCAATTGGTCATATTATGGCATTTGAAAACTAAGTCTCTTATTTGTTATTCTAATGAAGTATTTTGATAAGTGATATTCATACTAAAGCAAAGTCTTCATACAGACTTCTGAGAAAATGGTTTTCCACAAGAGAAAAAAAAATGTTATTTCTAATAGGACTGGAGTTACCTTTCTGACCCAGGTCTCTCATTGAGAGTTTGGGTAAGTCTAGCTCCTCACTCCAGCTTGCTTGAGAGTCAGTCCAGTCACTGGAATATCTAATTCCAGTTCTAACCTTTACCACATTTAAACATTCATTTTTAAAATCTATGTCCATTTTGGGGCTGGAGCGATAGCACAGCGGTTAGGGCGTTTGCCTTGCACGCAGCCAACATGGCCGACACGAGTTCGATTCCTCCGCCCCTCTCAGGCAGCCTGGCAAGCTACCTGTGATGTATTTGATATGCCAAACACAGTAACAAGTCTCACAGTGTTACTGGGCCCGCTCGAGCAAATTGATGAACAATGGGAGGACAGTGACAGTGATAGTGTCCATTCTGATCCAGAGATGTTCTCCTGTCAGTTTGTTTGATCATTTGGTCATAAAAGGGTCTCAGAAGCCAAATCCAAAGAATCATAAACATTGGGACAATAAAGAAATTTCTTGAAACATTTTCATCCTGCCCAAGGTGGTTATTGACAAGTCCTCCAGCAGATGGCAACAGTTTCTTTCAGACAAACTTAGTGCTTTCACTACTTGGTTGGTGAGTTCTGAGGTAAAGAGGCTGAGGTGAGGGCAAATCAGTGCAGTTCTGTTATGTAGTCTGAGATGATTGATTTCCTCCAGGGTACACTGGTCTCATGTACCAGGCAACTAATCTCAGATTTCACTTTTTCAATAGAAAGAAAAAAGTTTCAAGCGAAAATGGAAGTTTCCTTAGTGAACTGAGGCCTTTATAACATCATATGTATAATCAATATTGGGACCGCAATGGTACAAGGCACTGATAAAATAAATTTCTTCCTAAAATGATAAAAAGGGCTTTCAAAGACTTAAAAAATTAGAACAATAAAATGTAAGAGGGTGAGAGAGAAGAAAGCTGTGTACAACTTCGGGCCTTGTTTCATCTTTTGTTCTGTTTCCATACACCAATCACCATTGTTAATTATTTGCATCAATCTGGAAAACAGAATGGTGAAGCTTAAGAAGGCCAAGAATTTAGTTTCTAAGTCGATAATGATTATTTCACTTGTTTAAGAACACATTTAACAATTTATTTTTTAAATGAATATTTGATGCATATTACGATGTCAGATTTGGGTGCTGGGATCTCACTGGTAAACAAAGTGGACAATTTTCTGCTGTTGGGAGAATTGGACTCACTGTGCAGCTAAGTAACAGAGTGAGTTTTCATTACATTATGTTACATTAGCCATATGGCTTTTTTTAATTGACAAGGTTTTCATAAGGGGGTGGGGAATGATGGGGTAAGAGTTCATTGAGGAATCTGGGAGCTGCTGTTTGTGACAGACTATGAAGGAAACCTTCTGGTCATTTTGAATTTGACTAGTGCCCCACACATTGTGCAGGGGTGGGACTGTAAGTGCAAAGGTCCTAGGGTTAGAGAAGTGTGGATTAGTTCAACCACAGTTAAGGTGCTCACTGGCAGGCAAATGATATAGAAAGGAAAGAATGACAGAAAGGTCTGAAGGATAGCCAGAAATCATACCATGTGGATTCTGGGGTGGATTTGGGGTTTTATTTTCATTTAGATGCAAAGATCTCATGTTTTAAGCAGCAGAATGAAGGTCTACTTTTTAATAAAAAACTACTTTTTAATAAAAATCAGTTGAGAGGGAAGGAAATAAATAGGAAGACTTTTTATGTTGCCTGAAGTAAACATACACACACACACACACACACACACACACACACACACGGAGGAGGGGGAGAGGCACATTTCCACAATTTTCTGACAGGGAAGTGAACCATCACCAGACTCTGACTGGCCAGCTCTCTTTGTGTTCTTGTGTTTCCAGCTTCAGGGAAGGCTGCAAACTTCCCACGG